CATTTCATTTGACTGCATTTTAATTATTCTTGGAGAGTATCCTTGCTTCATATACAAACAACTGCATGTCCCCATTTGTTGTCCATCACACTGGCTTGCTAGAAGTTTAGCTAAAATATGATAAGCCTGATTCCCCCACCCTCCACTCTCCAAACTGTGCATGGCTAGTGGGACCTATTAGAGGTTAGCAGATTTTACTATGGGACAACTTGAGGACCTTTTTCTCCAGGAGGTGTGATGCAAGGGTGGGAAATGGGATTGGAGGAAGAATTGGAATAAGAATTGTCATAGCTGTATCCCCTTTTGCTGCTACAGATTTGTTAAATATTCAGTTTATAACTTAGCAGCATTGCTTCTACTGTTTGGACAATTATGTCATGTTCCCTAGGCTGGGAAAGGCAAAAATAGAGAAGGAACCTTGTTTTTCTTATGAGTAGTTGAAGCACAATAGTTGAACTTCAGGAGATCTATCCTGGATTTCTAGAGCTGCAATCTCAGTTTGAATGCTTTTTAGCTTGAGCTGGACTCAGATGCACATAATTTAGGAGATGGATGCATGATGGAAACAAGATGAACAAGTTTTGTTTTGAGGCACTTGCAATCTCTTTGGGATCTAGTTCAGGGTTGGAGCTAGCTTGCTGGAAACCAGCAATGCCACTAATGCTTTCTCCGTGCCAGGTGTAAAAAAGAAGCGTGAGGAATATTGAGCTTAATAGAATATACTGTACATATGTATGGTACTTAACATATTTAAGAAGTCACACCATTTTAAAGGAGACTCGAAACGTATTGGGATTCCATGAATCATCAGATGCACTGTGAAAATGAGAGGAAGCTGAATCAAGAGCAATTAAGAAGAAAGCAAGAGGATGCAACAAGCCTAATTTGCACATGCAGCTGGGAGCGTTGGATAACTCAGAGTTCACTGAGTACTTCTGCCTGAGGTATCTCAGTTCCCTACAAGAAATTGGATATAAAGCTTTTCCTTGCATGCATTTCTGCACTGGCTGGGTAAACCCTTTTTCCTGGATGTCCTTGCCTGCATCTCATCCCCAGCCTGGGAATGAGACATTTTTTTAGTCTTTTTTGCCTATACTGGTATTATAGTAGTATTTCCCCCCTTCTTTTAACACCATCTGAGGACAGCTTCAAAGTTTTGCCTTAGAGAACAGTTCTCAAACTTTGCAGGGCCCCAACCCCCTAAAAGGATAGAACTAATGATTTCACTGGGGATAGGGGTGGGCATGAAATAAAAAGACCTTTTACTTTTAATAATTAAATTTGAATCTGACTATCACCAGGGGTTCTCAAACTTTGGAGGACTGTAACTTCTTGCGGGCTTGCATAGGCAAAATGGGAAATGGAGCCCAGAATGAGTCTTGACAATGTTCCCACTTGGCCCGTGCAAGCTTGATCAGGTTTTAAAATTATTTGTTTATTGTGACTTGCCCCCAGTTGTTGTGTCCCAACCCATAGTTTCAGAACCCCTGCCTTACAGGAAAATCAGGTGACTACCAGCAAATGGGAACAGTGGCACTAGAGGCGGGATAGAAATCAGCAGCATAGCTTTCTGCCAACTCAAGGATGGGTGGAGAGCATTTCCCTTCAGAGAAATGCCGAAAAGATAAAACAAATTGGCTGCAGTTCAGTGTTTGGCATTCAGGGATTCAGTTCATGCCATAAACTAAGCCATAGGCTGATTTGCTTGGAATTAATGTTGTTGAATCCAGCTGTTTGTGGTTTGAAAACTGGTGGCACAGTACATAAGTCCTAACAATATATCTGCAGAATAAATAGACTTGATAAGAGGTTGGCTGACTCAATCATAAGACTCTGGGCCATGAACAACAAGAGAAAAACAAATTTAAGCCCCAATCTCATTAAACAGCCCCAATGACATCAAATGGCTGCCCACAATTACACTATGAGCCAAAGGTTTATTGAAGAAAAAATGATTTTCAGAGTTATTCAGAATACAAGGAGGGTTGAAGCTATGGATACCTTCATGGGTAGCGTGTGCAGGAGATACAACAAAAAAGCCTTGACTTCTAGCCCAGACTCCTTTCACCTTACATGGGATGAAACTCTTAGAAGATCCTCTCTTGATGTTCAGACTAGATTGGCAGAATCATGCTTGACAAGGTTCTTTGTATGGTGTTTTTAATGCTAGAATTCAGGGTAAAGTACAAAAACTAGAAACTGTGATAAAAAAAACCTTCTATCCCTCATTTGTTAAGTAGTTCATAGGGTAGAATCTCCTCAAACCGCATTAATCTCTTCTTCCCAAGCTTTTTCCTGCCTGTGCTGAGCTGAAATGTATGAGATAAGCTACCAACAAACCCTTCTCTTATCTCTTGCTGGTTTGTGTTAATCATTCCTCTTGTTATTTTTCCAGCCTTCCTCCAATCCATCATACTTTCCTACAGTATAGGGAAGTTTGGAGGCAAGACTAAAGTTGTCAAGCACAGTTGCCTTGAGTGATTTTTTTTCAAGCAAAGACTCACCACCACTTTCTTCAAAGTAGATAGCAAGCAGCCAAGAGAAACATGGCTCTAACACACAGGAGGCAGAGCAAATCTTATAGAGAACCTTATCCATTTCTTGTGTGTTTGTGTGTGTTTTGGTAAATTGTGAACAATTTTGTTGACCTCAGACAATTGTTATTTGAATTGTTGTGAATTTTATTACTTGGTTTTAATTCGTGTGCCACCCAGAGTCATTGTTATGAGATAGGCAGGTATACAAATCATTTAAATAAATAAACAATCATGGCACCTCCTTGGCATCATAGCTGCTGCCGCCGGACCTAAAACTCAGGAAGACAATTTTCTAGCAGATGACATCCTAATCGCTGCCCAATTGGTTCTCAGTATTATACATCAGGTCTTTGGGTATTGTAGATGCAGCACCAAATTAACTACTCCATTACATTGTGCTTTAAATACTAGATAAGTGTTGGCTTTGAGTAGAAGCAACAGCAATTCAGTAACACAAAATTGCAGGATGAAGGGAATGTAAGAGGAAAGGTATTAAAAAGTGGAGGCCCTACAATAATCTTTCCTTTCCTCAAAGAAGGAGAACCCTAAATGATATTGCTTTGTCTCTTATCTATAATTTTGAGGTTCTTTGCTTTTCTTAATAAGAGGACACTGAGAACTTTTATAATAGAAGTAAAAATGTTGAATGTAAAAGTTTGAAGAGCCAGTCTACTAAATAAAAATTGAGGATCAATTTAATCCAACGTTCTCCTTCCCTTTGTTGAGGGGGAAGGAGGGCAGGGTTTGTCTCTGCTGTTCTATTTCAAGAGGACCTAATGTACTATGGAACTAATGGCCTTTGGTAATAGCTGGTTTCTATAACCTTTTTCTAAAATGCACTTTTGGAACTTAGAGAAAGCTGTGAATAAACTTTAGGATCTTGGCCTTGGCCAAAAATAAGAGGTAAATAACCAAAAACAGCAATGGCAATTGTAGTGTGCAAAGTGTTAGTTTTTACATTCTAAACTAGAGAAGAGCTTCTTGGAGGAAAAGACAGTCTACTCAAAAGGGATTCAAGCATTACAGGCCAGGAAAGCACTCTTCACCAGATAATTGCAAACTTTGGTGTGGAGTTGGGACTCAGTATGCCTTCTGTTGGAAAGACTTTGCTTAAGATGGATTTCTAAATTAGTATTTTTTGAAAAACGTCAATACTTTTCCTTTGCCCATGGCAATTAGTGTATATACATAGAATTACACCCCCCCCAGAAACTGATATTTTAAAATATAAATATATTTCACTTGTTATGAACTATTTTCCCTCTTTTTCTTTGTTTTGTTTTTCCTGTTGCATGTGTGTGCATATGTGTGAGTGTGAGAGAGAGACAGGAGGAGGAATTTGTGTTTGGGGAGAGAAATGTTGGCAAAGGGGCAGTTGGGATTTGTCAGATTAAAAAATAAATGGAGAAGGGATGTGAGTTTGGGTTTATGGCAAAGAGATGACATCTCATATTTTAAAGGATTCTTTGCAAAAAAGGTTCATACCTGTTGGAGATATGATAGGAGCTAGAATTTTCCGGAATAAAAATGTTGAGAATGTAAATTGACAACTGCAATTTAGGACTGACTATGGGAAACATAAAGTGGGTTTTCAATTAAGCCATGGAAAATGTGGGAAGAAAAAGGCTCCAAATTAAACCCAGGGTATAAAGTGGGACAGTTGTCTTAATCGTCAGAGGCAATAATCTGTTATTTATTTATTTGTTAAATTTGTATGCTGCCTGACTCTCGATGATTCTGGGCAGCTCACAAGTAAAAACATTTTAAAAAATACAGTGAGAAACAAAAATAAAAGAATAAAAGATGGCAAAGATGACACGAATGAGACAGGGAGGGAGGGAGGAATGGAGGGGACCCACTCAATCCAATGGGGCCTTCATTCACCCTCACCAAAGGCCTGAGAGAAGAGCCAGGTCAGTTCTGTTGTTATTGTAAATATTCAGTTCATTCTGCTGGATTGCTTACTAGGAAGCTTCAGTGTACCATACCTAACCCTGAGTTCACTATAAAACCTAGCTTGATTGTTCTACCATATTCCTTCCCTCCTGAATCAGAACTGTTAAACTCTGTTTGTGTCTTAGGGTTTCTTAAAAGGTATCCGTGGTGAAATTAGCACCGGTATAAGCATATTCTATGAGCTATGCCGGCAGGGATTAAGTCATTGAATTCCAACACAGTTGGATGGCGCCAGTCGGGGAGTTGATATGAACAAGCATAGATCATCTTTTCTGAAGCTGCTGCTCTACTGATTCATAGACCATGCTTTAAATGATAGGAATTATAGTACAATGCATCTAGAGAGGTAGGAAAGGCTGTTTTTGATTTTGCTTTGGGACTGGTTTTGGACTGGGATTAGTGAAAGAGGCCCCTCAAACAGTAAATGAGATGTTAATCAATACTGTATGCTATGACATCTCCTGTGTGATGGATTGCAATAATGAACGTTGACTTTTACCACTTTAGATGACCAATACCAATACGTCCCTGTGGAGCTATGTCTCCACCATGTCTCCAGAGCGGTTCAATGGCTTGTATGAAGAATTTCCTCATACTCTACGTTGCCTCCTAGGGGAGTGGCTGGAAACTGAGCCATGGTAAGTCTGCAGAAAAAGGTAATTACTGGTGGGCTTAATCATCTCTGGTAATGTATGGTTTTTATCCCATGTTCCTAATGTGCAGGAGTGTATAGCTTGTCCTACTTCCAGATCATTTTATTGATAGTTCATAAATTTGGAATAGTCTCTCCTTGGAAAGAATTGTACTATGGATGTCATCTCTAGATCATCATTACATTCGAGGCTCTGACTCAGAAATCATCTTGGTCAGTCTCTTTTATAAATCCATGGGTAATATGAAGATAATAGAATAAGATGGGTAATATGTCTCCTTCTTCTTCAAACCAGATCTCCAAGAAGATTGGCAATGCTGAATAGGGCTTAAGGGAATGGTGTTGTTACCCTTCTCTTGGTTTGTGTGATAGGTTAGGTTGGGGAGAGTCACAGGCTCAGGCAGGAAATGATTTATTCTGTGAACAGGGTCTTTCTATTATCAAAATGTTTACAAAGTTTTCATTCAAATCCAAGCTTCGAGCTTCTTTTATTACCTCTCTGTCCTGCATAACATTTAAATCTATAGTTTTGTTCTAATGTAGAGTTATAACATTTACACTGTTTCCCATTATCTCTTATTTCCCATTATCCATTGGATCTAGACTTTTTATCTTAGCTCTGTCCTAATACTATCTTAGTTAAATCTTTCCATGATATCTGGGATGTAGAGCATCTCTGAGCCTGGATCCAGAGTCACTTGAGTGCTGAGCTACAGCACTTGGACTGGGACTGGGGCTTGGGTTTGCAGGTGGGTAGAAGAATTGAGGTGTTGGCAAATATCTTTTTCCTGGGCTGTTTCTTCACCCTCCAGCCTCTTTAGAGTATCTTTAGGGAATCCCCTGGTCTAGTTGCTGCCACTACCCTGGGCCTTATCTGCCAGCAGTCCAAGCTTCAGTGTAGCATAGTCAATAGTTGGAGCCTTGGGCCTTCCATCCGGGATACCAGTGCATTGGGCTCACCTCAGTTGGGTTTGTTTGGCCCCTTCTCAGGCTCCTTGTTGGTGCTGCCCACTTCTGACTGCTGTTATCCAAGCTGGACTTGTTGCTGCCCTTTTCACTTGCTCTTCTAGTTTCTGTGCTGTTGTCCTGTCCACCTGTGCTGTGGACTGTTGCTGATGCCTTTCTGCTTTCTACTGCTGCCTACCACCATCATTAAGTTTCTTCTCTTCTCTCTGCTGGTACTGCTCTGCCCATCTCTTTCAGGACTTCAACTTTGATTTTCAGCTTCTTTTCCTTTTCTTATTCCTTGTTCCTACTTCTTTCCTCCAGATCTCTTCTTACTCCCATCCGTTCTTTCAGTGGCCATCTTTTTAAAGGAACAGCTTCTCTATTCTGGCAGAGTGGGAGTTTTAAAAGATAAAGGTAGGAAGAATTGCACAAGGACTTTGCCGCTGTGCATCCATCCTTCCCCAATTTGAACCAGTTGAGTTTAGGAATTTTGAAGAAGTGGATGGTTTGGGTGCAGATGTAGTACCCTGGACTTTATACTTCTTTATTCTATTCTTTCTGTCCCATTTCCCTGCCTGCTCCCAATGTTCTCCCCAGGGAATTCATCAACAAATCAGACTCTTTCTGTACTCTTCTGGCTGGAAGGTTGCTGTCTGCCATGGTGGAGAAGATACAAGATCTCGCCAACAAGAATTGCAATTCTGCTGCTCAGATTCTTCAGTTTGTTGCTAACATTGAGGTATGGAAGGCTGTAACGTGAGTGTGGTATGTCACTGAAGGGATCATCTTCAGTCCTGCCACAATGCACGGATTTTTTTTCTGTGTCATCCATCGTAATGCTGAATTCTGTTGCATTAACTTCCACTCTCGTTTATGGTCCGCAGAAGAGACCGGGTTCTCTTTCTACTGTTGTTTTTAACATGGTAGAAAAGAGGCACTGGACCTTAGCTTAACTAAACTAAACTAAAAATTTCAGGCAGCACTTTCACTAGATTAAGAAGAGAGAGGTCTTCTTGTCTGGGATGAGGCAAATGATTACAAAGATTGCTGATAGTGAGTGCTTTACTGTCTCATACTAAGTTGAGTTTTTTCAACATAGAAAAAAAATAGGCCTTAGGATAGTGGTTCTGATTATTTCATTTACCAGAAAAAAGGGTGAGAATGGGCGTGTTTATTTCCTTGTAAATCTACAACTGCAGCAGAGAATCAACAGCCAAGCATAACATGCAGGCTGCTGCTTGAGAAATTAACATCTGATTCTCAGTCAGCCAGTGCTCAGCTATTGGCCTGTAACTGGGTGCATCAGACTGTGCCCTCAATTTGCATCAAACCACAAATCTCCTCCCCTCCACCAAAAAAAAAAAAATCAGAAAAAGTAAATTGCAAGCTTCCTGTTGGTTTCCCATAGGGGCATATCTCAACTTGATGGTTCTGAATTAACAACTTTTTAGGCAGCCATGCCAGTGGCCATGACTGCACAGAATGCCCCGAGCAAAATACTATTTTGATTCATTCCTGGGTCTGCAGTGGTACTTGCTTTTGCAGACAGAAGTTTCCTGTTTGTACAGAATCTTGAAAGTACACCAGAAGGAAGCCAGGACCACATGCAGAAATTATCCAACAATGATGATTGATTGCTAGGGGGCTCTTTGAGTTCAAGAATGGAATCTAACCTACTTCTGGTAATGTTCAATGACTGTCTTGGCCTGGTCTTCCTTCAGCAGTCTTAGGGTAGGGCTTTTTAAGAAAGGGAAGTATCTAGATCCTAACGCCCAGGTAAATTTCAGAACTGCCAGGCCTCAACTGAAGTTGCAATGCAAGAAACATGAGTACGTAAACCTGGTATGTATATGTGGTAGAGTCTTGGAATGACTGGATGGATTGTACCAGAATGGCTGGAGGATCCCAGTTCTGAATGTTCCATAACAACTCAAAATATGGAATGTTACCTAGGAGTAATAAACCATGGTGCCTCCATCCCTTTTGTAAGCAAATAAAATCTGCATTGGCCTAAGAATAGTCCTCTCTGCACAATTTGTTTATGATCTAGACTCACTTGAGTGGTATAGGGAGGTGCTTTACCTCCTAGAATCTGAAAGTGATGTGTTAGCCTATTTGGCAATTCTAGGGGATCTTGTTATGAGAAAAACAACATAGTGGATTTTCCCAGAAGTAGATAGATGGATGACAAGTATTAATGGATGCCATCTTCCTAATAATTATAGAGCAGATATCAGAAAGATCCACTGCAGCTGGCGACTGTTATAAAAAGGATCTTAGAAGCAGAGCAAACAGCAGTTCAACAGCAGGTAAGAGATTTTCCACATCTGTTCTCTGAGACCTAAACAACTGCCCTGACTCTTAAATCCCATCTGCTGGATATTGGCTAAAAATGGAAGCAGTGCAGCTGTTTATTGCTAAGGAGCCCCCACAACTTCCAGCGGTTGCAAGACCCATTCCAGACCTTGATATCCCCAGGTTGCTCATGCCCTCCATGATATGACCTCCGCCAAATACTACTACTGTCTTACCTTTGTTTGTAATATCAGCATGAGAGATACAAGCTATGCTAAGAATGTGCTGGCTGGGTTCTTCCCCTCCCTGCTATCCTTTGCCTGCTGACCTGGGACATTCCGCTGTGTATAGGATCTCTGGCCTGATGTCTCCTTCTGACCTTTATTACCAGAAAGAAATAGTTCTGTCCTGAATGGAACTTAGCAGGGAGAATCATGTCTCATTTCTCCATCTTGCAGCATCAACACATTCCCCTTGTAATTGAACGTCAACGGGAAGAACTGAAGTTTAGATTCAGCCTACAGAAGCTGCAATACAGACTTCAGGAGATTCGGAATCTCCAGGAAAGCTTACAGCAGATGAAGGGCAACACCAGAGGTGAGAACAAACAAAAAGAGCATTTAAGATGTCTGGGCACTGAAAACATTGAAAATAATGTACAAAAAGAGACGTCCCTTCCAGTCTTATTTGCTTGATGCACCTACTGCAAAGAATCTTGGCAGCAGAACTGTCCATATTTGATGCTAGCCAAATATGGACAGCCTAGGTATGAACCACTTTAGTGGATCAAACTCCTGTCATATTTTATTGTGACCAGTATAACCACAGATATTGAAAAACGAGACACTTTTAATTATTACATATGCAGGCAGAACGGGGGTAGAGTATCCTCGCTATTAATAAGCAATTTGAGTTTTCAGAGTTGACCTAGTGAAGAAAATATCAATGTAAGCTGCATAAATATCCCTCCTTAAAAGAAATATTTTTAAAATTGAAAGGTATTCTTTCTTATGCACACAAGTATGCACATACACTTTTTTTTTCCATAGCAGAGCACTGATTGGCTCTGTCCAAATTACATTTTAGAAGCAAAGAGCTTCTGGGCAAATCAGCAAGGCTGGGAAGGAGAGATGTGCTGCTGCAGAAATGGCCATATCCTCTACCTCTTCAATCCACGAGTGGAGGAAAACACAACTGAGAAAATTCAGAAGTGGCAAATCCATGTCCTGGCTTCAAAGAGACACTGCAGATATGCACTGAGTGGTGACTGGTGGTGGTGACATCCCTCAGACATGGAGAGGCCAGGTTGATGGGAACATGCCTTTAGGATAGCTCCCTGCACCATCACCTGTACACTGACATGACAACATCCGTTGAGTTACTTGGTGTGCGTGAGGCTGGGTTTTTTAGTCTCCTAATTCCTGTTTGCAATGACTGTTCCAGAACACTGGAGCATAGTGAGAAGGGAAGAGGCATCACATATAACACAGTAACCCTCACATAGCTCCTAGATGTCTAATCTTCTGGGACAAGAGTTGAAGACTTAGCGAACGAGGAAAAGACTTTGGCAAGCAGGAAAAGAAGTCAGAAGAGATAACAAGGGATGTTACAGTGACACCCTGATGGCAGCAATGTAGTCACTTTGCTTACTGTATAGGACATGGAATTAGGAATGGGGGATGTGCCTTTGAGCCCTATCTCTGGTCCAGAACAGTGCCACTGGAGCTGCTGTGGACCTTCCATGTTATTCCCATGTTTCAGTATAGCACAGGACTCTTCACTAGGTCCCTATCTGAGCCAGAACTCAGTTTAAAATCCTGGTGCTTTCCAAGATCTGATTCCTCTTATTTCTTCCCATAATCCTGTTTCTTTTTTATGCTCCTCTAAACAGGGCCTTTTTTTTCAATCCCTTCATCCAGGGTTGCTGTTTCCAAGTTCTGGGGCTTTAGGGGTCTAGACTTGTGACCCTGAAATAGCTCCCTTCCTCTCTATAGAAATGTTATGGCTTTTTCAAAGGGATTTAAAGGCCTTTTTATTTGATTAATGGGTGAGTGTAGGGTATGGTTATTCCACCTTGTTCTTATTAACCTGTCAGTTTTACATTAACATCTGCTTCAAATTATGAATGTAAATACACTCCTAAGCCAGCTAATGTTTGGATTGATTTGTAATTACTGTGGTTTTTTTTCATTTTTTGTTTTCTTACCATACCTTGGTAAAGGCATGTCATTAATAATGGTAAACTGTTATTATTATTAAGCAAACAGAAGGGGCAGGTGCCTTCCCATTTTCTCCCGGCTTGTCCAGAGACAAATAAATGAAGCACTTCCCTACCCATTCAATAGCAGGCAGAAGATAACAAGCATCAATATATTAGTACAGATCTGATCCATTTTATTATCAGCATTTACAAAAGCAATCAACCCATGCAGAGATCTGGACATGAAGGGCCAAATGTGACTTGGTGTACCTGGGCATGTGCATAGCATTTGTCAGGAACACATTATGCTAAGCAAGCCTTTTCCCAGGATTGCACATCAACTCCAGGCAACAGCCTTGCAAGTCCAGAAAAAGATACAGCTATTTTAAAGGGTTCTCTGAATTGCATTTTGTCATTTGACCTAGATCACTGCATACCCTTAAAAGGCAACATTCCAATCAGTCTTACTTTTTTAAATGATTATTTTAAAACATCCATTGGGATAAAAATGTGTGCGGATATTCCTCGTTTAGCGACCAGGGTTGGGACCAGCAACTTGGTCGTTATGGTAGTGGTCATTAAGTGAAACTGCAACTGTGCTTAAGAACTTACTTCAGCTTTCCTTTGCTTTACAGACTGTGAAGGTTGTAAATATGAGGATTGGTCGTAATGTTATTTTTTTCATCACCTTCGTAACTGTGAATGGTTGCTAAATGAGGCAGTTGCTAAACGAGGACTACTTGTATCTCTCTGTCATTTGCTATTTTTATAATACGTGTTCACATTTCCCTAAAATATATGGGTTTTTTTTTAGCATAAATGTCATTGTTTCTCTTTTTAATGTAAATGACAGTGATGGAAATATTTTAAAGATAATTTACTGAAATAAACTATTGTTTTTAATTTAACTACCTCTAAAATATAAAGTTTTAAACCTTGTAACCCATTCAAAAATATACTTTGGGGGATATACAATTTTCAAGGGTTATTTTATGATGATTTTTATCTTGAAAATATAGACACGAGTCAATTTCATTTAATCAGATCATAACTCCTTCCACTAGCAAAATGGTGGGATAGTCTATATTAAAGTTTATCAGAGGAGACTGGTCACAGAGGAAATCCACTGAGTATTGTTTTTCTACTTATTCAGTTCTATAAATGGGGAATTTTGTAACCAACTCTCAATAAATGAAAGAGAAAATGATGACCTAAAATGGGTACAATAACTAACTTGTACATGAAGGCATCCTATAGTTGTTAACCCTGCATTTGTGATCCTCAGCTCCTCTGCAGCAAAACTCACAGGACTGTCAATTTCCAATGCAAGAGAACCTGCAAGCAAGTGTAAGTCACCAACATTACAAAGGGTTAATTTATTCTGGAGTCTTGAGTTTATTTGCTGTCTTATTTTTTAAATTATTTTTTTCTGTCTTCTTTTTCTGCCATCCAAGTTCTGAGTCCTCAAGGAAACTTCCATATCTAATTCTAAACAGTCTAAAACAGTGTTTCTCAACCTTGGCATCTTGAAAATGTGTGGACTTCAACTCCCAGAATTCCCCAGCCAGCATGGGGAATTTCCAAATACCATCCTAGATCAAAGAAGATAGCAAGTTGAGTTGGCACTTTCAATAGCATCTCCAATTACTGAACAATCCATAGAAGACCAACTTGGTTATCTTTTGATGCCAGGTAACATTCCCTAAAGGCTTTTAAACCTCTGTATATTTAGACCATGTTGCCCTTAAGAAAGATTTTTTTTTCTTTGTGATATCTTCTTGGGAAGCCTGTTTTAGTCTTTCTACTGTTAATAATTCTTGCTTTGTTTTATTACACTTTTTGAGGCACTAGTTGTTGTCTTTTTACCTGGTTACCCTGAGAGCTATTAGTTCTAGAGCAAGTAAAACCTCCTAGAAATAAAAGGAATCAAAACGAATG